CGGTGAAAACATAACCTCCGCCAAGCCCCTGGCGGAAGTAAATATATAAAAAAAGCATTATACAGATCTAAAACAGAAATACAACCCAATTATGTTAAAAATCCACACACAGATCCTGCGATAAAAATACAAGGAAGATATAATTATTTAAAAAACATTACGCAAATATACAACGAAAATACAACGTAATAGAGTAAACCTATAGAGTAAATGCAGAGCAAATATATAAAACTTCTACAACACTCAAATCTTTATTAAACACAAGATCTCCATATAGAATAATTGCAGAGTGCAGTTGTGATTTCTCCTCCACCCGCCTCTCCCTCCCGCCCGCCATCTATAAAGTACAGTCAAAATCCAAAAATCCGGATGCCGGATATCCGGTCCACTCGAGAACCCGGGATTTTCGAAAGCTTTCTTTTCAAGCATTACACGCTCTTTCTGTAGTGAACAATTTTTATGCAAACATTTTTGTCAAGTGTTTTTGACTTTATCTTTCTTTAAAACTGATTGATTTGATAAATGATGCATGCTGCATTTGTTAATGAATAAACTATCAAAATCTACCGGTTTATCTCTTCTTTATTCCTCATTAAATTTGAATTTTAGAAGTACTGTCCGAGAATCCGGACCGACCCAATCCCCGAGCAGTCCGGATGTTCGGACTTCTGCTGTAATTAGGTTCTTAGAGATACCGCAGTAGCACCCTATCACCGTCACCACCGCCGCTGCGCAGAGAAAATGGCATCTTTCCTTACGTCGTCGAACGGTATGCGCGTTGTCGTCTCGCCGGGAAAACCTCCACCGATGTCCAGCAGCGAGAAGGAGAAGCCGATCTCAGCGCCCTCTTCGAAGACGCGTTTGGCGTTGCTAATGGCGACGCTCCATGCGTCGGCCTCGGGGCAACGGCTGCCGACGTGGAAGCTGTGGGAATAGACAGGCGAGGGTGAGACAGTAGCTTAGCCATGATGGTAGTTACTACCACACACCGAGGGTCGGGTGTGAGGGTATATAACCCTAAACCTAACCCTAACCCTAACCCTATAACTCTAACCCTATAACCCTAACCGTAAAACAAACCCTAACCCTTAACCTTAACACAAACCCTAATCCTAACGCTAAACCTAACACAAACCCTAGCCCTAGCCCTAACACTAATGTTAACCCTAACCCTAACCCTTCACTAACCTCAATCCTAACGCTAACCATATCGTCGCGTCACTGGCGCCACCTACCTGACCCCGATGACGTCAAGGTTCAGCTGGCGGGCGACGGTGAGCAGGTGTCGTGTGTCGTGCAGGGACGCGCCGTACTGACAGTTCACCTTGAACTCGTAACGGCTGTCATCACACGCTATGCGGAGGATCAACCTAGCAGTAATAGATAGGTAGTAAGAGATAGGTAGTAAGTGATAGGTAGTAACATATAGGTAGTAAGAAGTAGGTTGTAATTGATAGATAGTAATAGATAGGTAGTAATAGACAGGTAGTGATCGATAGGTAGTAATAGATAGGTAGTAATAGAGAAGTAGTAAGGTAGTAGTAAGAGATAGGTAGTAATAGGAAGATAGTCATAGGTAGGTAGTAAGATATAGGTAGTAAGGTAGTGGTAGGAGTCATGTAGTAATAGATAGGTAGTAAGCAATAGGTAGTTAGCAGGAGATATAGTAGCGTAGAAGTAGTAAGAGATAAGTAACAAGAGATATGTAGTAAAGTAGTAGCATGTGATAGATAGTAGGAAATATATAGTAATACGGT